TTTAAAATGCATTTCTACGTAGGAATGTACCCTGAATTGTATCTTTAATGCGACTGAACTAATTTCAGATTTTGAAAGGTAATATAAGTAAGTTTGATAACTAATATATTTTATTCTACCCAAAGGTAAAACATTAGGACAGTAAGGTCTGGACATCTGGCCGACTATGGAGACAAAGTGCCCCTTCCTATCCAACGGTCTGGATAAGTGCGGTCTAAAATAAACGTTTTCTAATAAAATTACCAATTTGTTTCTTAATAGGTTCAAATAAATTTGGCTATTAAGTTTCCTATTAAAGAAATGCCAAGGACTTAATTGATTTTGATAATCCACTTTACGCATCCACTGAGCAATATCATATTATATATATTTGAAAACCGATAAAGATATCACAACGTAAATTTTAAAAAAAATTGCACAGGCTATTGTCATACTATTTACCAAGACTTCTGGATTCTTCCTGCATCGTTTCGTCCATCATCCTGTTGGCGTCTTTAGAATTTTAGAACTACTCTGTACCTGCCTATATTGGTGACCGAGAACTAACATTACACGTCGTAGTGGTGACGGCACCTTAAGAGCCCGTTCTCTAACCAAAAATGAAGAACTTGGAGTACTCATCACGCTTGGACTCAGCAAGAGTGGTGGTTTTTCCCCAAATAGATCGACTGACCTATTTGTATATATCCATTACCTGGGCCAGTACAGATGCGATCGTATTCAGGTTGTCGGAATACATATCGATCTCAGTAAGACATTTGAAAAGATGGATCATCAGCTGTTGCTATTTAAACCGGTAGATGCGGATGGGTAGAAAATTTAAAGTCCGTATCAATGGCCAAAACCCGGATATACACTTCCCGGGATCTTTCCAATTTCCCATTTACCGCCTTTGTTTTCTATAAATTACCTTAAAGATATAGTGAAATGCGCTCAGCATATCAAATGTTGACTTCACCTGCCGCAAAGTTACAGGAAGATATCCAGCGTTTTGGACCGTACTGTAAAAATGATGGTCTCTCTATAAACATCCAAAAATGCTGTGTTATATCTTTTACTAAAAATTAGGTTCCTATTCCCTTCATCTACTCTGTCAAAAGGGTAACAGACGGGTGGGATATCGGAGTGGTATTGAACTAAAAGCTAATTCAATCTTACATATGCTACATGAATGAAGCTTGAAATTTGACGTAGACGTAGAAAATGGATTTAAAAAAATGTTGTATATTTTTTATTTATTGCAAAGAATGCATTAAACATTAGAATTACCAATGAAAAAAGAGACCCATGGACTACTACATCAAATTTTAGCTGTCGGCTTTTTCTGTCTTAAATATCAAAAATAACCATGTTGTGTTATACATTTTTTAAATCAGAGTTTAAAGAAAACAATATGTTTTATTATCTGCTATTTTTGTTGAATCTCCCAATATACGTGAACCCAACACGGAAGCAAATTTTAGGTTGGAGACTACCACTTTTATATTAAACGTTTTTTTTTCTAAAAACTCAATGAAAAAGATAAGGGGGTGGACATTTAAAGCGGTGTTACTCTAGAGATTTTTGAAAATAAAAGTTAAAAAAAATGTCCTAGACTTAGGTTTTTATACCCATCAGGCAACTACACATCCCCCAAAATACAAGTAATGGTTTTTCCTTTATTTTATAAAAAATGAAAATTATTGAAACATTTAAAATTTTAATGAAGGCGTCATAATACGGACCATTAGTATTTAATATGGACCAAAATAATTCTGATGTGATCCGACATTCTACTTCTGTAAAAACTAGTGTAATAACAATAATAAAATAAATCAAAACTCGCATATGAAAATGTCCTTTTCTACCCCGGAACCATCGAGAGCAAAAAACGCACTGGACTCATAATTGACCACAAGCATCCTCCGAAAACAATATAAACATGGAGCATTTTGTTGGGGTGTAAAATCACTAGAATCTTCAAAACTTCATCATCCTACTAATTTACAAGTTAGTCTTTTCTTAACATTTTTTCTGACAGTTTGTTTTCTCTGTTAGGTAACTTTATATCTAAAATTTCTTTTATTCCTTTATTTGTTTTGGAATTTGTTTATTTTTCCCCTTAAATGAATGTTCTAATTCCAGTTTGCATGGGGAAGATGTCAATAGAGCAGCATTGCTAGCTTTTCATTCCCTATTGCTTTCTGTTTCATTTAAACGCGGTATTGCACTAATTTTTGCAGCTGTTATAAAAGCGAGAGCAGTCGAGGTAGATTTAGGCTGATTAGATTGATCTTCCTCATTTGTCTGACTTTCAGTTGGTACTGCTGTTGCATTTCCGTTCTCTTGTGTTCAATGAATGTTATCTAGGTTGTCGTTGAGGGTTGTCTCAATAAAATCATGATTATTAAGAGGATAAATCACTGTTGTTCGATAGACACTGATAGCAGTTCTGCACACTGACCTCGAACATATGCACATCCAAAAATACTTGCTATGTCATAATGAGCGATAGATCTGGCATTAACTGGCATCTATACACGAAAACCAAGAACAGTATTTTTCTTTGCTTCCCTATTCCAAGGCTGCCTAGAGGGAAAATAAGGCCTATAACAAGACCACCAGCGTAGGAGGAATAGGTAATAGACTTAACGTAGGCCGGATGAGAATATGGATAACTTTACACAATTTCGATTTGTCGCGTACAGGGTGGCCCATTAATAAAGGAGGCGGCTTCATCTCAGGAAGTGTTAGTCCTACAACTTAGAGAAATAAAATATTTACGGGTAAATCGGCAGAGAGAAAAAGCTGGAAATTATTTTCTGGTTTATAAAATGGCCGCTAGCGGGCGTAACCTCTACTGTAACATAGAAAAAAAGGACTTTCTTAAAAATATTCCAAATTAACTTATATCTAAATTAGTATTAACGTAATCTACTCTAGAAAAGGAAACGTTTTGTTTGAACAGTTTTTTTCTATCTCGTTAAATTAAGGGTGAGTGAAGAGTCAAATAATGGTTTAGAAAAAGTTGAACAACATTTCTTTAACTAATCCGATTCCGACGAACTTATTTTAGTTATTTATAGGAGCTTCGACTGGCATGTCAACATCATGATATTAATTCTTTAATTGTTAAACTGTTATTTTTATGATTTACTGAAAATTTCAACTATAATGGCATACATATTTTTAGCTAGGATGGAAGAGAGTAAAAAACACAGCAAGTGGGGGAAAAGGCATGGCAATATCTTTAATTTAAAAATACTTTTTTTTATAGCAAATGTTCCATACTACTTTTATTCTATTTTATATATGAAACATAATTGAGAGAAAATTTGGTTAGAAAGAATTATTCAGAAAATACCTCAATTAATTGACATCTGAGCTGGGTTCCATAATTATTGAACTCCACCCTGGTTTATCATTTCTAACGCCATGAACTGTATAAACTTATTTTAATTCTAACAAAAGTTAACACTAAACATACCCTAACTATACACATTAGAAACTGATTATTGGGGCCTCAAATGTTTGAACTGGCGTCCATCATTCCCAATGTAAAAAGAGCAGCAGTTTCTACTTCAGCCATTGAAATTTATTAAATGGCGCTCCTTATTCTCTGTATCATGTTCTGCCGTGTAGTTATATGTAAAGCATAAACGATATTTTTAATTCTGAACCACAAATAATCCTAATGCACCTTTTATGATTATCTAGCTGGCCTGGAAATATACTTTTTCTGCCTATCTACTTATTGGGAAACGTTAAGTTCAAATATTCTCGAACCAATTGAGAAAAATGAGCCGGGCAACCATCATGCTGGAGAAACATGCTTTGTAGTTCAGGTAAATTGTTGATTAAAAAATTCAAATAGGTTTTACCATTTAGAGGTTGGTCAAAAATGAATGGTGCAATAATAACTCCGCCCAATATGGCGGACCACAACACTCCACCTGCCTTGGTGCTGGACCTCTTGCATCTAACGTGGATTTGTTCTAGACCAACAGTGCATGTTGTGTAGATTCACTTGCCCATCACTTTTAAAAGTGGCTTCGTCGGTCCTCAACATCATTGACATCAGTTGGGGGTTTTCAGCTATTATATTGAATTGAATTCTGTATAGCCCAAAACATTAATAATAGTCTCGTCGGTTCTACCTCTACACGTGTTGGTAAATATTTCCGCTGGTTCTTAATCTTCCGTGCCAATCTTTCAAAAACCCTCGTGGTATACCTGCGCCCCTCTGGATATCTTACAGCGTAGACTATTGCCACAATAATTGCATTAATACACCGCAAGCAAATCGACAATATTATTTAGTAATGAAGCCTCATTCACCAGAAACAGCACACATTCACATTGTTGAAAATCCACTACAAACTCGGGATCCCATTTTCAACATAGATTTTCAGTGAATATTTGGTGTGGTATGATTGCCACCTTTATAATTAAAGAACGTATCACGGCCATTCGTTATTTACGTTTCATTGAAAAAGATCTTCCAATATTACTGGATGATGTTCCCTTTAATATGAGACAAGGAATATGGATTCAGCACTTTGGTCGATAGGTAACAAAATTTCTTAATCAAAGATACACAAACCGCTGGATTGGAAGAAGCAGTTCCTTGCTCAGTAAGGTCATCTGACCTTAATCCCTTACATTACTTCTTATGGAAAAGACCGAAAACTTTAGTTTATGCAGAAAGTATTGAAACTGGTTTCTAGAATTATGGATGCCGCAGAAACTATTCGTGTTAATCCTGAGACTGTTAACAGAGCTACCTGGGTGGATATTTTGAACAACTAATTCAACAAAATAAAATATAAATGTATAAAAATTTCATATGCTTTCAGCTCAGTTAGAATTGCGTTCCGGGTATATTTTCCATTGACATTTTTAATTTGAAACGACCTCAGCAATACAATCCCAAGCTTTATGTTATGGGACACCCTGTATATTATCAAAAAACAGTAAAACTAATGCATGAGATCTGAACAGATGTTTTGACATGTGTCAAACATTTACAAATATCATCCTGTCGATTATCTTGTAGCGTACAATTTTTCAAATTCCGCGTCACAGTAATGAAGAAACCAAACAAGTTTAACCCGAAGAAAACTCCACGTTACTTACCAGGCTGTATTCCCCAGCAAGCATCAGATGATGATCTACGCCGGTATAACCAACATCTCTACAGGATTTTCTCCGCCAAAGCGGTTGTGGACGCCTGTCCGCCCCGAATGAATCCGTTTTGCTATCTGAACTCGAGGAAGTTACATCAAGACGCTACGAGACTAAGAGAGATAGATACAGACAACAAAAAACTATTGAAAAAAATCAGTATTATCAATAGAACCGGTGGCAGAGTAGACTCGTACAATCCGGATGCCTATCGCAGAATAGACAAATGGCCAGCGTATAATCGGAAGATGAAGAGCGTCGAGGTGGAAAACAGAAAAATCTACACCTCACTGCAGACCGTACAGCAGCATTACGACAACGAGAGGCTCCGAGCCGAATGGAGGGAGACTCTGAAAACGATCAAACACAGCTGCAGGTATCCTTTGGTGATCCTCGCGAAAGCCTCACTCGACGAGACTTTAAAGAAGGAGTTATCGATAAGTTATTTGCTGGGTGATTATTTCGTTGGCCCTAGAACCCGATGTTTCCTCGAATTCAGTGTATTGGGCGGGAAACGGCTAGGCAAAATTGTAATCGAAGTGTACGAAGACCGTCTTCCAGTGACAGCCAAGAATTTCGTGGAGTTGTGCAAGGGTGACACGCTGTCGTACAAAAATAACTTGGTCCACAGGATAACCAAGGGTCAGTACATGGAGATGGGCGACATAATTTACAACAATGGGCGTGGTGGTCGATCCGTGTACGGTGACAGTTTTCCCCAAGAAGGTCACCGGCTAAGACACACCAAAGCGGGGGTAGTGTCCATGAAACGAGTAGGTCGGCAGCTGAATCACTCGCAATTTTGCATTACATTTTGCAAGATGGAACGGCTCGATTTTAAAAATGTCGTTTTCGGGTACGTCGTCGAAGGAAACGATGTTCTGGTGGTTATCAATAACTACGGGCGCAAAATTGGAAAACCATTGGAAAGAATCTTCGTGTCCGATTGTGGTGTATGTTCTAATACCAACAGTATTGAGAAATGAGAAGCTTGTTTCATTTAGTTTGTAGTTTCTTGTTGTGAAGTCGAGTATTTGGTTGGGTCTATGCTTGTTTACTAAGTTTCTATCGTGGTGGTAGTCTCCCAATATTAATTAGTTTTTATAAAAAAAAAACATTTATCGCTGCTATGTGCGGAGGAATGCAGTGAAACTAAGAAGCAATACAAAAAAGTTGTAATAAGAAACAACACAAAATACATTTCATTGGCACAAAGGTCCTCTAAACACTTGGTAACTGTTTATCATTGGCAAAATATACTCAAACAACAAATTATTAAAAAAAATTAAAAAAAAAATAAATAACCAAATTTTTCATCTTGCTCCATATAATCTGTAAGATGGGTCCGAGCATCCAGAAAGATAGGGTTGAGTTATGGCTTGCAGTATTCACAGGCGAAGAGTAGATCAACAGGGTCATTTGCATCCGCACCATAACAGGAAGCGTGAAACCACTTTTGACATACGATCCACTCTTCGCTGCTCTGAGTAGGTATGAGTGTTAACCGTTTTGGCATTTTCTAATTTTTAACATTGAGTGGTTTTTGTTTGCTGTCGGGAATCTTTTTTGTGATTCCTTAAGCTGTTTCTTGTCTGGGAAATTAGAATGGCGGTTTTACCCCTTCGGTAGCTTTGTAAATTTAAAAATTTTTTTTGGGTGGTTGAGTTTTTCTACTGCTGTGGTAGAGATTTTTAAGTGAGGTATGAAAGCCGTACTTTAACCAAACTACCAACTTCACCTTCTATGAAATTTTCACTGCTCGTGGGTGATGACTGAACGCCACTGCATGAAATCATATTACTTATAATGGAAGCATTTTCAATGTTAGATTGAGCAGTATGCATTTCTTCATGTGGCTCAGAAGTAGTAGATGGTTGATTTATAGAAAAGTGATTTCAATGCTGGTTCGAGCAGACTGAATTTCTTTAGATCGCTGAGAGCTAACAGATCGTTCGTTTGCTATAGATTTTGCGGTCCGGGTTGAGAGAATGCACGGAATATTAGCAGTCTTAGCTGCACCAGTAAAGACACTGGCATTTAATTTTCAAAATCCGTATCTTCTAAAGCCATTGTTGCAGACTCAGTGAAAACGATGGGTACAGTACTGCTGATGATAGTGAACCAAATTGTTTTGGCCTCCGTGATATAATTTTGAATTTAGTTATCGAATCTGTTGACACTCCGGTTTATATTTGTCTAAAATGCTAACATACAGTTCATGAAACGCGCAGGCGGTGGACATGGCCTCTGGTTTTCCGATGGATAAATCCTGACAACGGCGTAATAAATCCTGGGTCCAGTCCTTTCCAGCAAGTTCCTTATCACAGCTAAACTTATGTTTCTTATTATTTTTAACTGGCAATTGGCAAACAAATTTTCCTTATTCAGTTGAATTAAGGCCAAATAACTTTCACCCAATGTCTTTTAAGTATTTAACCAATTCTTGTTCTTCCTTTTCGTTAAATACTGGTCTGATTGGCAAATGGCAAATTTACGGTCACCTAAAAATGAATGTCAATGTCAAGTCAATGATTAAAAATTGAACAGCAATCACCTGTCGTTGTAACCATCTTTACTTTTCTCAACTTTTTATTCTCAGATTTGGAAGGCTGACTGTGTCTTGATCACTGAGGTACACAATGAACAAATAGCAAAATTTGCCTTGTTGTTATTGTTGTACACATGTTTATATGAGAAATTTGATAAGATCGTGACCGTCATGTTGCTAAAAACTCACTGAACTAACATACCACGTGGCAGAAATATTTTCCGTGCATGGAATGACATATAGGGTTGGACAGTTTTACGGGGTATCTCAGTTATTCTTATAGATAGAGAGAGAGTCACGGCTTACGGGACACTGTGTTACTTTTTTGTGAAATTAAAGCTGTCATCAACCAAATTATCAAGAACCTCTTGGGTTTTGAAATACAGAGTGCAATCCAAAACTATCGATTTTGGGACCACCCCCGTATCTCCGTTGTCGTATTAAAGAGTTTAAAAAATGTTCTTATAGGATTTTTTGCTGTAGAATAAGTAGTATAGTAATTTTTACATTACTTGGAAATCCCCTAAGCCCTTATTATTATAACGTTTAGTTATAATAATATGTTAATATTCCTTGGATATAATACTATTTTGTAGTAATTAATGTGACAAGCTCAAAATTATTACAAATAATAGTTCATAACCTATAAAACACATTAATCAATTTTAAAGTATTGAGTTCCTTGTATGTTAATAATTGTTTACTTGGATATTGTTTTTAATAGATTAACAGACAATTTTGTTAAAAATTATTAATAGTAAGTGATGTTTTTTTTTAAAATAGGAATCTTTTATTATTTATGTTGTTGTTAGGATGTTACCTTATTTCATTGAATTGTAAAAGTATAAAGGACAGTTTTTTTTTCTGAAGGACACTAGTTGGTAACTAAATACTAAATATTTTGTTTTAGATAGATTTTTTTTTTCAGAAAAAAAGTTCTCGACTAAATATTATTTGTTGATAGAGTCAGCGGCACGCCACTGATTTTTTTAAATAATGACATTTGCATTCATATATGAGAAGATTTAATCTCTTAATTTTTTTCTAGTTCGTCGCACGGTTTTCACTTAAAAATAAAACTAAACAAAAAAGAGGTTTTTATTTTTTAAAGCGGAAACCGTACATCGGATTGAAATAAATCAAAAAATTAAATTTCTTTAGAAATGATTGGAGATTGTAAGAATAATTTTAATTTTAAGAGAAATCTGTAACATGTAGAGTTTTTTTTAATTACAGTTGATGCATTTTCAAACAGCTCTTTCATTTCACTTAGAAAGGCTCGAAGATATAATATGTATTCTTACTGTAACTGGTTTTATTTGCTTCGTTTCATGAACATTGCATAGTTTCCGCCTAAACCGGTTTTTGAAACTCTTAAAAATAGGGCGGCGATCCATTTTTATATTAAATGATATTGAATTCAGAGACGTTGACAAGTTTTCTGGTAATCGTAGTAAATTAATTTTCAACCTGAAATGCCAGTAGCATCCATTACTCAGTTTAATTAGGGTAATTTCCCTAGCACTTTTGAATAAGTAATGTTTTTGGTTCTATTTGAAGAAGATCGAAAATTCTGTCATTCAAAATACTAAAAAGATCCCTTAATGCAAAATGATTAATATTACAAGTAGCTCATAATTGGATACGCGATATCTTCTTCGTCACTTGAATCGACAGGTTGTATATTGGCACCTCCTTTATCATAAGTTCCAAGGGCTAGTTGACTTTCAGAAAAACAGAATTTATATTTTGATGTTCTAAATTTGATTGAGATTCCAACTTAGCAGTGGATGATGATATCTTCACCTTGCTCGCTTTTGCAAGCAATTATGGAAGTTAGCTGTCGACGGTAATAAAAGTCGCTTGTGGTAGTTATTAAGGGACAGAACATTAGAGACAAATTTCTTGTTAATAATTTTTTTTTGTTTATTTAGCTGGGAATATCTATACATAATTACATTTTTATTCTAAATGTCTAAATCTAATTTTGTTTTACTATCGGATTTATTATAATAGGATTTATATTGTTTTGTATAGAAATGTAAGAGTCCTCAATTTTTGTAATGTGTTGTACTGAAACATTTTATAAATTACATTTTTTAGAAAAATTATAACACTGAGACATAAAGTAGGATTAACATTTTCTACTCTGACCCATGATTTTACTTTTTTCCACAAATGCTCTGTGAGGCTAAACATGCAATGATATGATGGAAGACGTAAAACCGACCCAGCGGGTATTATGGTAAAACGTTTTCCTTTTCCTTTTAAGTTGCTTTCGTCTGACAGTTTTGGGTGGAATCAACCCTTTGGATACAGGGTCGTGTGTGTCAAACCATGTTTCATCAAGGTAAATTATCTTTTAATTTCTTGAAGGTAATTAAATCTCCAAGTGCCTAATCTGAAAAACCATAAAATCTTGTTACTTTCGAAAAATCGATGAAACGGAATTTTTCGAAAGTATACGCGTTTGGCAACCAGATTCATATCTTGGAAACAGTGCGTCGTACAGCATCGCCATTGGTACAGATGGAATCAGTGTTGAAAAAAAAAAACGTTTTTATTTTTTTGTCTGTTTGTCCGTTCTCCGCTCTCCGTTCTCCATTCTCCGTTCTCTGTGAGCGCTTCATAAAAACGCAAATAACTTCGGAACCGTTGAAGCCAGGATGCTGAAATTTTTCTCCTTTTAAACTGACAACCAGATACATAAGCCTAAAAGATTGAACTGAGGTGGCTTTTACTTGATGAAAATCCATTTATCAAAATAAATAAGAACTAAAAGTTCAGTTTTTCACGAAATTATATATTTTGATATTTTGACATGACAATTGTTTCGACAACACCGTGTCTTTATCAAATGTAAAAAAAAATCTACAACCTAAAGGAAATGGCGGCGATTGGTAATTGGCATCTCTCTTTTTTTGCAATTTTCGTCTGTATTTCATACATTGCTATGAAACACGATAAGATTTGCAGCTATCCATTTCAAAATTGGCACAAATATAGAGCTTAGAACATATTAAAACGGGGGGTGGGGGGTCGGAAAGTATTTTTAAAAATTTAAAAACCGCATTAGCAGGGTATCGACAAAAAATCATTTCTCAAAAACGGTATACGCGATCGAAAAAATTCTTGAACCAGAAGACGCGCAAGATCCTGGCCAAAATAATTTATTCTTGATGATTTTCTAAAAATGTACAGGGTGCGCTGGCGAATTGCAAAAAAAATAAAATTGGGCTCCCCTTATAAGGATAATTAACCATAACTAAAAGGCTGTGTTTCAGCTACCATTTTTTTTCACGCGACCATATAGTCTGTATGGACTGCTAAAACTTCTGTATTTTAGCTTTTCACAAATTGTACAGGGTATTCGGGATATTCTGTACCATTTTCAAAATTGTAATAGATGTCTCAAATTTGAAACTATTGACTTCAAATTTAACAGAGAAGTGAAAGTCCACAACCACATCTAAACCGTAGAAACTGGAATCAATCACACTTGCCTAGAATTTTTGAAATTTTTATTTTTAGTTTTTTATCTTCCAGAAAAAACAAAATTTCTGGAAAACTATTAACCTGATCGGCAAAATTATTATACCACGAGACGCGGAAGATTCGGTACTATAACTTCTATTGCAATGATTTTATCCATTATGTACAGCGTTTTTCAATTATACACAAAAATCTAAAAGGCCCTGAAAATTGTTCATTTTCGGAGTAAATTATTAGCCGTAAATCAAAATTCCCATAAAATATGGCCGATTTATTTCAATTGTATTGTACAATGCGTCAAGAGCTACAATTTTTGTATTTAGAGTTTTCGTCTATCATATGCACTGTTCAAGATATTTGAAAAAATCCAAATGAAAATCATAATTTCTCGCCCTCAATCTCGACGCGAAGAAGTCATTTACTATTACGACGTAATGCATGGTTTCAAATATTTCTTCCAAAACCATTTGCTCTATTGGAAAAATTGATATACCAGGCGAAATGGGAGATCCAGGGCTACTACCTCTATTTCGAACATTGTTTGAATTATATGCAGGGTGTGGTTTATGCTTCGTGCTAGGCGCTACGAACTTGCCTCGCCCAGCGACGATTTTTCGAAAGCAATCTTGTTTTACAAAAAATACAATTTTATTTTTATTATGGTATCCTGGGCACCCAATAAAATCGTTTTAAAACAATTACAAAATAAATTAGCCCAAGCATAAATAGTTTAATAAATATTGATTTATAACCATGTTTAAACACATTTAATACGAAGCCCTTAAAAATCTTTTATTAATCCGTCT